AAACTTGAAAGAATTGAAACAAGGTCATGGTATGGTCAAAATCGAAGTTTCCATTAAAATAAAAATCACAAATAATTCATTGCAAGCATGTTTTATCAATCGCTCAAAGGCTCATGTACTTTAACTCTTCCAAAGCATGTTATCCGACTACATGAGTTCCAGTTTCTCCAACAGTCTACTTAAAATATAGAACTCTGATTTCGTTATACTCATGGAGTATAACGAAATCAGAGTTCTATATTTTAATTAGACTGTTTCTCCAGTTGAGGGACAATTTGGTCCTTGACATTTCATAGTTTCTGAAATAAGGACAAAAATCCATACCTGTCAACTGACCCGGATCTTGCGGGTGTGACCCGAGATTTTCACAATTCTGAGGGGTCACCCGGAACACCCGCCGGGTGACCAAATAACCCGGAAATTCGGAAAATAACCCGTTTTCACCCGGATTCCTAAGCCTTCAGACTGATTAGATATAAACTGATTTCTTTTAAATACCGGCAAATTCGTAAATCGTCCTGGACAAAAAGTTCAACTAGCTGTGTAAGCTCAGCTCAAGTGACCCATTTCAATTAATGGCTTCACTTGACAGTTTTGGTGTCAAACACACTGTTCATTAACACCAATTACCTTAGCTTTAGGTCGTAAATAATTTGTGTATTTCAAAGTTGTTTTAAAAACAACTTGAGTTACTTCCCCTTTTTTGTCAATTCACAATATACTCCTTAGACTTATGTTTTTTTTTGTAAAAAGATTAAATCTAAAATGAATTGAATGCAAAAACATATCAGAATAATACTTTTACTTATTGTTTTACCTTAGAACAATTAAAAAATAAAAATTTTGAAAATTACTTTTTTCATCTATACCTCCTTTAATTGTTTAATTTTATTTTATTATACTCTAATATCAATCTTTGAAATGTTTCACTGCTTAAAAGTTGCACAAATGTATGCAAAGAAAACACAAATTGGCACATTGTATGCCATGGACTGAATATGAACAGGAATAAAGGCAATGTAACACAAATCTATCAATGGGCTCCGAGTGCAATGAAATAATAAAATGTACAATTTTAAATTACTTAACCATGTGGACATGTTTTGGAAACTTTGATATAAATTATACGAAAAATGTCCCCATAATACTGAAATTCAGCTCGAAAAAGTTCGTACGCGTTATGACCTGAGATTTCATTCTTCTATGCAGGTCATCACCTGCATTTTCATTGTCATAGGTTGACAGGTATGAAAATCATTCACTTAGTTTTTAGTAAGATTGGGATATACGAAAATGAAAGAAAAAGAAATATTTCTATATATAAAGAGTATAGGCATTCAGGCTAAATTTCAACCTACATTTTGAGCATATACAATTATATTACTTTGGGATTATCACGAATACTGCCTTCGGGGGTAGGGGAGGGGGTAACTTACTATGACGAGCGGTAGGTATGAGCCGCTGGAATAGGTCATTAGAATACTATTTCTAGCTTCATGATATATATGATAAGGTCGATAAGAAACAAGGACAAGTTACTAAATAAATCAAAAGTATCTGAAATCCAGTAGACGTCGATTTTTTTCACAGATGCGAAAAAATAAACACTGTCATAAATGCTTCAAATCTCATAAAAATACCAGGCTTATAATTTTGTATACCAGACGCGCATTTCGTCTACAAGAAATCCAAGATATTATGATCACTTAACTGTATCAGTGGTTATTTTTCTTTAATTTCAAGTACGATGGAGTTAATGCGTTCAATATAGAAACCAAAGCTAGTAGTGATTCAGGGAAAAAAATCTATATAGAGGAATTTGAAGTCAACGAAAAATATTACTTCGTATTTTTCTTCTTGGGAAACACCTATTGAAAGTCTGTCTCACATAAAATAAGGAACAAGTCAGCAAATAAAGAAGCACAGTTTGTTATGATAGATAACGTCTCTGTTTTATAAAACAAGGGATCCATTGTTACGACTATCGATAAAATAAACTCATCATAGATATACCAGGCATCAACTTTGTACGCTAGACTCGCGTTTCGTCTACAAAAGGCTCATCAGTGACGACGGAATGAGAAAGTTAAAAGTGCCAAAAAAGTAAGAAGTTGAAGAGCATTGACAATGCATAATTTCGATGGGTGCCAAATGCAGCTAATGTATCATGGTCAGAAAATCCTTATTATTTCTAAAAGTTTAATGTTTTGTAAACAGTTAATTTATGATTACGACCGTATCAATGATAATTCATGTCACAACCGACAATGACTACTGAGCTGGTAATAATATTTTCAAAGTCAGTATTAAGGTCACTACTTTGTATTCTTTTACATTTTATATATTTACGAACTGTTTCATCAATCATGTCTAAGTTAAAAGTTTGATGACAAATTAGTTTTTAAAGTATGATGATTTAAACATAAATCTAAAGATCACAGCTAAGGATTTTTTTTCTGCAATAGATGCGCATTTCGACAATAAATACCTATTTAGTGATGCTCGAGGCGAAAATATTTATAAAACCTTATAATGTATTGGCAAAGTTTATTTCATAAAAAGTATAATTTGAGCTTACATGGGAGCAGAAGCATAGGAAAACTAAGTTTTCAGGAAGAGACGTAGGTGCTGTGTTGGGAGAATGAAGAGTGGTTTATATCTATATTTAAGGATAACAGTTATTAATAAATGTTAACCAATGTCTTACAAGAGTCGAATATCATGTTTAATCTTTCTTATAAAAAACCTCATAAAAGATGCCAGGGTTATAATTGTGCGTCAGACGCGCGTTTCGTCTACAAGATACTTATCAATGACGTTCGAAACAAAAAAGTTGAAAGGCTAAATCAATTATTTCATCCCACCCTTACACACAAATCTATAAAGTGTTATTTCCATTTCTAACAGGGGCCTCGGTGGCCGAGTGGTCTAAAGAGTTACTACTGTTATCACTAGCCAATCAACACTGAGGTTGTGAGTTCGAACCCCGCTCGTGCGGGTGCACTCGACTCCAATCTTAATTGACTAGGATTGTCAGTTTTCCTATCGAAGGTCGGTGGTTTTCTCCGGGCACTCCGGCTTCCTCCACCAATAAAAACTGGCCGCCACGAAATAGCATAAAAGCGTTGCTTAAAAGTGGAGTTAAAACACCAAAAATCAAATCAAATCAAATCATTTCTAACAGTGGGTTGATACCGCTGCTAGTAGACTGTTAACCACGAGGGTATCATCATCGTCAGTTATTCGGTACTCTTATGATCTATCACATTTCCGTTGATAGATATATAAAGATTTTAAGAAGCTAATGATTCAATGAGATTAGACAAAGATGACCTCAGATGGATTTGGCTCTTTTGTTTAGGTTCAATATCGTCATTTAACTCTTCAATTGTTTAATATCTTATACTTCCTTAGCTTTCAAATTTTGAGGTATGAGTGTTCCTGATGAAGGTTAATCCACAAAAGCTCTTAGGACTCAACAAATATATAATATGTGCTATTTTCATTATATATACGTTTGAACAAAGTCTTGTTCTACACAACATAGGGCTTGCTTCACCTCATATGTCTCAGTAGTCAGCGTTAAATAGCGCTACCTTGGACGTTACAAGCACATAAGCTTTAATTCCAGCATCGTATATCTGGGTTTTATGCCAAATCTTCGTCAATTTTTACATATATTTTGTAAACCTAGATCTATCCCTTAATTTCCTGTCATCATACTCTTATTCTAAATGGCGATAGACTCTTTGCTTGTCGTGTCGTCAGCCAACATTATAGATCAATCTTGCAGCAATCATTGTATTTATCCAATGGATAAAAAGTAAGTCGGTTAATTTCGGCTGATTAAATTTATCTTGATCTTTAGGGAATTATGGGATTTAACTAAAGGATAGGTTTTAAGCAATAAAAATTAACCAGTGGCTTAAACTTAGTCCTGAATTGCATACAAATAGTTCTCAGGACATGGATATCAATCTGAATGCATCCAAAAAATTCTCCAGTATATATAATGTAAATGAAGTCGTGACAAATAAATAATAAACAATTTTTGAAGAAATAAGTTTGTTATGTTGCCGTTGCTTAATACAATGATTAAGAAAATGAAAAGAATAATACATGTAGCATATAACAACAATAAAAAAATCATATTTTCACATACAAATCTATTCACAAAAATGATGCAGTGATTAATTTTGGTGATTTTGCATAGCTGTTTACTATGGCATCACTTCATCATCAAAGATTCAAACCTCCCCTAAGTATTTTAAAACTGCAAACGTTCAAATGGGGATGTTTTTAGCTTTCTAAATGTGAACTTTTTCCATTTCTATGTAGCAACATTCCAGAAGCGCCTGCATATGGAGTATTATATACCTCCCAGTCGATGGGAGATTCCAGAGCTTGCGTTTCCTATCATGATTTCCTTGATAGAGGGTTGTTGCTTACAGGGATCTATTTGACCTAGAATTTCAAGTGTTAAAGTTGAAGCCATCAGTTGGTTGCCCGCTATGGAATATCAGTGTCAATGATTACTAAGGATATGTTCCAATTGTCATAACCACAACCCCGTCATTCTTTACTTGTTTGTGACATCACCGAATTAGACTCTTCACCACAGTTGTACTTCCGATGAATTACACGACGGATGCCACTAGTGGTACAGGATCTGCTTACCCTTTCGGAGCACCTGAGATTGTCCCACTTTCTTGTGAGGTTCGTGTTGCTCAGACTTAAGTTCTTTTATGTAGCGTTTTGAGAACTTTTGTGTTTCGTTGTTTGCTATATATATGGCGTTGTCAGCTTCTATCGACTTATGCTCTATGAACGTCCACTTGGCGTCTTCCGCCTCCCTTATATAGCACAAGAACATTTTCAAAATCTACTCCATGCCATACATTTATTTTTAATCAACTATAGTAAAAATCAGAAAAAAACAATCAGACAGATGAGAAACATTTTTTATATAAGAAAGGTGAATAATCACAACTGCTATTGTCGAAATGCGAATCTAGAATTTGTATTGTTAGCGTTATCCACAATATTCAATTCGCCTCCATTAAGCGTATGGATAATATCATGACATATTTAAAACTACATTTCATAAAAATCAATTATGTTAAAATGTCAACAAAAACAAACCACTTAAAATTATTAAAAGTATAATGTTGATATACTGCCAGTATCTATATTTATAACATGTACAATAAAGAAACAAATTTCACACCAGAAATGAAGAATTTTAAAATTTTAACTAATAAAGCGTGTTTCTAAGTTTCATATAATATTATGCATACAAAGTTCAACCCCTAGATAAAACAGGATGTGTCTTAGTCATTTGAGTATATATAGAAATCTTATCATAAAAAAGATATCTAAAAGTTCGTAATTTACAGAAATCTATTGTGATTCAGTGTGAGAATTCTTGTCCTTTAACATTAAGATGGACATTTTCAATTTCGTTTTTTTTTTTCGTTTTATTTTTGTTAGTAAACAAAAACAAGACATCGGAGAAGTGATCCTTAGTGTTTATATAAGATTTATGTTATTTGTGACAGCGATATTTTCCTCTTTGATTTATTTCGTGGAAATTCAAACTTTATCTAAAAGCAAGCGACTATTGTTCTCGAAATTGTTAGCTTACATGTTGAGAAGTTAATCCATTAAATCCTAACATTGTCCATTTCTTGTTATCATATATATGTTTTTTAATTGTATTATTTGTTTGAATCATTAAGTGACAAATTTCATTATTACATGTAGTTATGATTAAGTAAGATTACGTAATTCATATTAGATCGTTTCTATGTAAATGGTCAGTTGGATACCAGCGGTCAAGCTGTACGGACGCCGTGCATTTACAGTAACATTCATTGTGTTTAGTATAGAACATTTATTGGAATTACCATTTGTTTTATCTTTTCGGAATATTACCGTTGAACTTTTATTGTAATTAATGTATTGCACTATTGAAGAAGTTATATATAAAACCATCGTAAAGCTTAACTTAGTTTTGTTGACTTTAGACAGTGACTTTCCCCCCGAACTCTAAATATAACAGGAACGACGAAAGCCCCTGTTATATATACATCAAACATGAAAAGTCAAATGCATTTGTACTATTCTGTTTGACAGCAAAGCATTCAGAAGGTTTATTTAGAAAGAAAATAACACGGAACTGACGATGACTGTAAGGGTGAATGTTAAAACCGAAATGTGAACGTGTTGTGCTCCATTTCCGGAAAGACAGTTTGATCCCTGACATTCCATTGTTTCTGAAATATAGAAAGAAAATAATAAGCAAAACAAACTAAGCATTTATTGTTAGTGAACACGTCACATTTACCCCATTTAATAAGGTTTTCACATTAATGTATTGTACAGTAACAGTTGTTAGCATCCTATGTCTGGTCTAACCAAATCTGTTGTTGCTCTTATATTTTAAATTATAATCAGTTAACTTAATAAATGATTAAGTAATACTTGGAGAAATGACCACATTAAATTATCGTGTACAGTGTTACTTTGTTAAAGTCAGCAAGGTCAAAACATATGACATGATGCGATACAACAGAAGTCCGTACCCAGTAATGTTGTCAAATATTAACGAAAGATATTTTGAAGATCGAATTAAGTTTTTATGGTAAAACGAGAAATAAAGATTTTGCTTACATGTAGCAAAATGTAAATAAAGTGATGTCGTCTATACAAACATTACAAACTTATTCTGCTAGGTAATACATTATGTACTGTGTTATTTGTAAACATGAACAGAATAGTTCTATACATAGTTGAGTAGGAAATAATGATATTTTACTAACCACCATTAGTCTCCTATACATTTTCAACTTAATATAAACATTACACAAGTTGATAAAGCACGTGTGGCATAAAATGCTGGTTATTCAACCGATACGATGAATTTAAATAACTATAAATGGCTATCATCATCTCTAGCCCATTGACTCTTTAATTGACCATTTGGCACGGCACAATTCATATCTGCGAACATTTTCTTGAGAAAAACAAATAGTAGTTTTGAATTTTCTTATCTATTTTTATCTAAATCCAATTTAAAATTACGTTGGTGAGCGTAAAGACATTACAAAATTATACTTATTGTAATTTCTAAATATCTCAAAATGTAAAATTTTTACAGTTCGTATTTTTTCCTGGCAAATGGAAATATATGTCCTAGCAGGGCCTCTAACCATGCACGCATGGGATGTTTATGGTTAATATATATCAGGTGTTACATGATCACGTGTGCTTGAAAATATGAAGATAACCCCTGTTTGAAATTTTGTATATAGTTGGTGCGGGGTTTTCTCGCTGCGTTTAAGACCCTTTGGTGGCCTTGTGCTGTTTTCTGCTCTTTGGTCGGGTTGTTGTCTTTTTAACACATTCCCCGTTTCCATTTTCAATTCTTTTTGGTGCATATGTAGGGCTTGCAAGTATGTTATTGCATCACAGATATTAAACAGTGTTATACGTGAAATTGTAATAGGAGATTCTTACTTTTAAAAATAACATGAACCAACGCGATATGAAAAAAATTCAGCGCTTGACGTATTCGTAAATACTAAGGCTTTGGTGTTCATTAAACTTTGAAGTGCGCAAAAACTCCTTTAACAAAGTAATATAGTCTGAAAGGTTTTGAACATTCAATTTTTTTTAACATTCTTTTGCACATCAGGACGACAACATGTTAATATGGATGAAAATGAAACCTGTTTTACTGAACAAGGTTTACTGGGTTTTTTAAATGCTAGTTCACAAGGTAACAGTCCGCATAAACTCATGTCACCCTGTCTGGACGGATATTCATGTCGCTGATCCGATCCGACTTTGCGTTTTCATCTAAATGCTACGTGCTTGAGCACCTTTTTGATCACAATTAAGATGGTTTACTATTTAAGTAAACTGTCAAATGAAACATATTTATTCATTTGATCATGCATATACGAAAGGTAATAACACCAAAAAGCTTAAGAAAAACGGTTAATCGAACACAGATAAAATGATATGCGGTCTTTTGTTTAATTACAGACGAATGTTGTAAAAAAAATACTTTTCAGCACAATTTAAAAATAAGGAGATGAGGTATGATTGCCAATGAGACAACTATACACCAAAGTTCAAATAAAATGGATGTAAGCAAGTATAGGCAACCGTACGGCCTTCAACAATGAGAAAAACCCATACCGTATAGTCGGCTATAAAAGGCCACGACATGTAAATTATAAAACAATTCAATTGAGAAAACTTACGGCATAACTTATAACAAGAAAATTAACGAAAAACAAATACGACAGACATGAACCAACGACAACCACTGAACTACATGCTCCAGACTTGGGGCAGGCACATAAAGAATGTGGTGGGGTTTAAAATGTTTGTGAGACTATTTTTTGTCTGAGTACCCTGATCTAGATGACATAACTGCAAACGAATTGAGGATGTTGTCACCCCATATCCTCAAAACCAATGTTCTTGTGTGGACCTCGCAGATTAAGGCATTTAATTTTAAAGTTTTAACATTGCTTATGAATAAGTTAAAGATGCCCATATACAAAGAGAATCTGAATAAATAAATTTTTGACAATGTAAACCAAAAACTGACTTCGCTCAGCAGATCGATTCATTGACAAGTTTAAATTATTTGTATTTGGCACACTACGTACCTATGCCATCACTTCATTTTAAATATTGAATTGTCTTTTCATTAGCTTTTCATGTCGGAAAACATATATTCGCCCAACTACAGGATGTATTGACACTTTTTCTGAACAATTTTATTGATAATAATTCAAACTTCAATAAAAATATACATGTTAATTTCAAATTCCTTTTACCGATTTGTTTTATTTACTTACCGACACATGCACGTTTAAATAGCATTTCCTTAACTTCATCTGAATTTAACTGTGAGAAATTTGACACTTGGATGGTGAACCTTTGATCTGGATCACTGGATATTTCATTGAGCTCTTTGACATCGACCTCTCCTCCAACCCCAATGGCAAATATATAAGCTCCTCTGTCTTTAATTAAAGCTGCTTCCTTTTGGGTCTGTTGTTTTCCCTGACTTGCAGTAAATATATCATACATGCCAGGATTTGTACCTCCGTCTGTCAAGACAATAACAACATCTACCACGTCAGATCTTTCCCCATTACCAAGAGCGAAAATGTGTTCATGCGTGTGTTTTAAAGCAAGGTATGTCCTGGTAGCGTCGCCATTATGATGCTCAATATCATTAATAGCGGAAAGCACATCTATCTTGGTTGTGTAATCATTGAATCCAAATTGAGGGACCAGATGAGTACTGAAAGATAACGCAGCAACTCGGGTCGCGTCTGAACCAATAACAAGAAAGTCGACGAAGTCTTTTACAAATTGTATTTGGTTTCTGAAGTCGAGAGCCGATAAACTGTTGGAGGAGTCAATTACAAAAGCAAGATCGATCATGGTCTTACACAATGGTGTTCGTTTATAACTGCCTGATGCCATTCCATTAAAAATCATGAAAAGAATAAAGATTTAACAGATATAAACATAAACATCGTACAAATGAAATGATTAACGTGCGCACAATACGTGTTTTTTTAAACAACCTGTATCAGATACGCTCGTGACCAAATATATATAACGTATGAGGTCATACGAAATACAAGGACATTAACAGAACAGCAAAAACCTTAGTTCAATTTTGCCTGAGATTATGAACTAATAATGACGCCACGATAAACCAACTCCCTAAATCAAAATAAGGCTATGGTAGATGATGCTATTCTTTTAATGTACTTTTATTCCATTTGCTTTCCGAGTATTATAATATGTATACATCTATGCCTTTCAGAGTTTTGAGCTTGAGCGTTCCTGGAGAAGGTATATCCAGAAAAGCGCATCCGACCTCTCCAAATTTATGAAGTAATATTTTCATTTACGAGGAGAACTTATCATTTGAATTATGCTTTTACAGAAGCACTAGCTTTTGATCGGGTTGAAAGCAAAATATAGCAATTATGCTATTTAAGAATGAGAGAAGTAAACAAAATAAATATTTTTAACTGTAATATATAACATTAGGTCACACTTCAAACTGATGACATAAAGCATAAGTAAAGACAACTTAGCTAGCCATTTCTAAATATGCGTTTTATTCAAACCATTCTTTTAAGCAAAAATCGTTATACTCTCAACTTATTTTGAGTATTTTCTTTTACATGTACTTGCCACATTCCTATTGTCATTAGGAAATTAATCGTTTGTGTGTGGAAAAAGAAAGAACCAGTACAAAGTATTTATTATTGGGAAAATTACAGCCGATTTCATTGAGTGTGTAGTTAAAGGTAATATATTTGGTTAGCTTGCTTGCTAGCTGAACCGTGAAGTCATTATTATGTTAGGTAAACTACCCTCCTTTATGAGTAGACTAGTCCCACAAATATCCAATTCTATCTGTCTGTGGGACTAGTCTACTCATAAAGGAGGGTAGTTTACCTAACCTAATAATGACTTCACGGTTCAGCTAGCAAGCATGCTAACCAAAGTCAAAGATATTACCTTTTCCTACACACTCAATGAAATCGGCTGTAATACTAAATGCATGTTATCAAAACTCGTTAAAGATACCAGACTAATAATTGTGTACGCCAGATGCAGGTTTCGTCTCAGACTCATCAGTGATGCTCAAATCAAAATAGTTGAATGACCAAATAAAAGAAGTTTAAAAGAATTAAATACCCAGCAATTGATTGTTTTTGCACCCAGCTTTCTGTGTCGCAAGTACCTAATTTATCTGACATTTTCAATAACAGCTGACAATAAATGAATTCTGAATTTTTCTCTAAAATGTTATTTTATTTAACATATCAGTATTACAGCGATAACAAAAATATATAAATACAACGGATTCTACAACTACACCGAGTGTGGTATCATACGTCTCTACTCTAGAGAGTTAATTTTTTATTTTGAAACACGTAAAACGTCAGACTTTGAAACTTAACTGCCAAGGATGAGAAAATATCATCTGCACGAACTACGATGGTGGGATATAATTATCTATTTTTTTTTTGACAATATGTAGACAAACTCTCTATTTCTTTTTCATTGCTCAGATTTATTTCTTTTTATGTGTTTTATGTGATGTCATCAGGCATGGTCGCCTTTTCCCATGACGACAAGAACACTATACTAGGAGGTAGCGATAATTTTTACTTACGATGAACTGAACGCAAGTGAACCCATGTTGATAATAAAAAGAGTCTTAATCGGCTAAGGATTAGAGAAAAACAAATTTACAATGACTGTACGTTTGTACTCACCGCTAACAAGGAAAACCTAAAAGACAATAAAATTTTTATAAAGGAATGATTGAGAAATTTTCAATTTTTACTTGTAGCAAGAAAACAAGTTCGGTGAAACCATTTTTTTATATTTATCTTATCATATTTTATTTCAAAATTCTATCTCATAGATTTCTTTTATTCACAAAAAAACTGTTTTTTCATGAACAATCTATGCAAATTTGGGCAATTTTGCACATCTTGTAGCTTGAAAAAAGCACGGTGACTCATACTTTTTATTATATTTTTGAAAAAAAACATGTAAAATTCTACATTTCGGCAAAATATAAGAAAATTCTATCTGAGGAAATATATACCAATGATCCATCTTAAATGAAACGAAAAAAATATGACTTTGCATTAGATAGAAACAAAACAAATTAAGTTTAAAAAAAACATTAGTTGGACTTCTTGCTTTATATGTCTTTTTATAGATCTGATATATAATGACATAGGTATATAATTCGTCCTCATTATATTAGACAAATCAATTAAATAAAAATATATACATTTACAAACTCATATCCGAAATTTAAATCAGAGAAACTCACTAGACGTATTACTTTGTACGTCAGACGCATGTTTCGTGTACATAAAACTCATTAGTCGCACTCAAATAAAACAAGTTGGAAAACATAATCAAGTACGAAACCGAAGAGAAATTATAAAACAAAAGTTCCAAAAAGTTGTGCCAAATAGATAAGTATATGATATTCCAAACAATTGTCTATTATCAAACATGTTCATGGAAATAATACAGGCTTCGTCCTCCTTCACATGAAAGACCTGCCTATATATTATTGTGGTTAAAATAAAACGATAGGACCAATTTCTCAATATTTCTCTTATTTCAAAAACAGGACTATTAAAAAGATTTTTGTATGTTTACTTATAAAGTCATTTTAATACAGTGGCATAATAGAAAAAAGGAATGGTTTATTAGAAACTCCGAAACAGTGATAAAGTCGTCCTTGTTACGCTACGTTGACATTTTTGCAAAGCAACGTCACCGTATTTTCGGGGTTTGAGTGTATTAAGAAAGTAGATCAAGGTTAAGAAAAATACTAACTAAAATACTTGTATGTTTGTGCTCATCATTTTCAAAACTGTATTGTAAGCTTCTAAGTAAAACAGATTATTTTCAAAATTCTGTTTCACATGAATGATTAAAAAAGGCATTGATGTAATTGACAATATCAAAACCATACCTGAAGAAAGTGTTATCAACCTTGATAAAAAAAACTCAACACTGGTTGTAAATGGAATAGTTAAAAAAAAAGAAATATACTCCACACGTTAAAAATAGATGAAAAATTAAGTAACAGGCATTTAAGTACACGGGGCATAAAAGAATGTTAAAATAAACTAAGTAAAAAATAAATAATAAAACAAAGTTCACTGGGTTCTTGAAGTAATAAACACTACAAACCATTGAAAGACTGAAATGGCCTATATTTGTACTCGACTGTACTGATTTTTAATCGACCAGTCTGAATTGGTCTGAAATTTACTTGATTATACTTGACTGTAGTCTGAACCATACTTAACAGTCTGAACTTGTACTCGACCACACTCGACCAGTACTTAACCATTTTATTTGCGTCTGAGCCATGCTCGACCTAGTCTGAACCATACTCGACCTAGTCTGAACCATACTCGACCTAGTCTGAACCATACTTGACCTAGTCTGAACCATACTCGACCTAGTCTGAACCATACTCGACCTAGTCTGATCCATACTCGACCTAGTCTGAACCATACTTGACCAAGTCTCAACCAACCTAGACATATTTTTTGTATCTATCTATTGTATTTCATCAATTTAGGAACTGTTTTTAACAGCTATTTCCCCTGGCTAGAAATTTGAACAACAATTTGAAATTTAAAATGTATTCAATATGGCATTGAAACCAAAATTTCACAATAAACATGATATAAATTCAACACCATATTCATCAACACTTACATATATATATATATATCACCTTTAAAATAAAAATAAAACAAGCTGATCCAATAATCTCAAAACTGAATTGTGACTAATATATTCAATGTTATTCAAAATTTTTTGAATGTTTCAGATATATTTTATGGTTACTGGACAATTTTTACCATTTACTTAAGCCTTGTATAGATTTATGGTGTCAGTTGAGTTTAGTTAATAATGCAGTGAACATTTTTTTTATTAAAATATATTTAGAATAGTATATAAAGCAACTTAATAAATTTAAAAGATCACATCTTTGTTTTGTAAAACCAAGAATTTAATATAATCATGATAAGAGAACTTCTGTAACAATCCTTGATAACCATTTAAAAAAGGAAATGTGTTCCAAAGTAGCAGAAAAAATTTATTTCAATTAAATTTAGATAACTTTTGTCAAAATTAAAGACATGGCATACAAGAAGAACTTTAATAAGGTTTAATTACCTCAGTACATGTGTGTTTTACAGGTAAAAAGAAAGCTCTATTTTTCTTAAACTCGTGTATTACTTATCTAGTGAATTCAAAAGGCATTGCGATTTAGGTTTTACAGGATGTTGCAATTTTTACTGAATGTTAATTAGAAATTAATTCTATCAGACCAGGTGTGATCTTTTTAATGAGTTTGCCCCAAGCAGGAGGTATTACTTTATACTTTACCACTATTCGGAATTTTTTTTTATTTATTTATTTAACTTTTTTATCCCTTTTTGATATATATTATAATATATCCCAAATTATAATAAGAAAAGATATAGTTCTAATATAAGGTTAAACACTTTCAGTGATTTTTTGGCTGTTGTTAACTCATTAAAAAGATAATTATATAACTATTGTATGTAACCATAAAACCTATGTAGTTTTTCTTTAGGAATTTGGGAAAATTAAGTTTAAAAAAAACACTTGCCAACCAAGAAGCACCTTAATAAGGTTTTATTACCCTCAGTTAAAAGGTGTGGTTTTTAGGTAAAAGAATCTTTTTTTTAACAAAACTCTAAAACTTAAAATTAATATAATTAAATTATTATACAAGATAATTTAATTTAACATGTTTAACTATCTCTATTTGATAAATCTGAGAATCATGTAAGGATGTAAAAATATGTTTTTATATATATCTTTATTTTATTGCGGCTGTTATCATGTCAGAAAAAAAGAAATTAATTTTAACAGCTAAAATTAAAAAAAAGTAGAGGTTATTTGGTCAAGTATGGTTCAGACTGGTCGAGTATTGTTCAGACCTTCGGTCGAG